TCTCAGCCTGAGAGGAGCAATTAAACACCCGCTGTTTTTTAAGCTCGCTCTGTCGCCCTATTTACCCAGAGGCTATCATGCAAACAGGATCGATTAGCTGCTACCAAAATGGTCAGAGAGGGGAGAAACACTGACTGGAACGCCAGATGGTGCTTCAGTCTATTTTACCGGCACTTAATGGTCCCTGGTTCTGAAAGCGAAACCATGCGCGGTGCATTCAGGTTAACTGACGACAATAGGAATAATTGACGATTTTTCCGTTTCTGATAAAAAAGGGTTACCTTGTAACGTTGAAGTTTGGGTGACAAGCGGATTAGTGGAGAGATGGGCGTGACTCAGTTTTGTGATCCCTCCCGTTGATGTTTTCCTTTTGATACGTGGCTCCAGGTTAGGGGCGAAACTCGCACACAGTGGACGGAGCTCGACTCAGTGCATCAGTGTTCCGCATCCGTAAACCTTGACCTATGCGATACCCATCCCATCCGTGACCCTCATACTGGCTCTTCAGGTAATGCCGAGTTCCTGGACAGACAGACAGATAGGCGGAAACATTTATATATAGTGAGATGGTTTTCGCGCTTTCTGAAAAGCTCCGCGGAGTTTCGGGCAGAGTCTAAAGAGTAATATTCATCAAGAATTAGGTGTATATTTTAATTAGCCCACTACATTCATACCTCTAACTCACCCCCAATAAATCCCGTTGCCACAAGTACCAGAGCTTTCCAGGGCTTGAAGTCAGGAATAGTTGAGTAAGTTGTTCTTTTCTTCTGTGTATTCAAAATGTAAAGCGCTATGGCGAAAGAACACCATATCGAAACAAACAGCATCTTTTTCTGTGCGCCATCGAGCACATCATCGACCTGAACAGCGAATACCTTCCAGTAACTCTTTCCGAGGGGAAGTAAAAAAAAACATACGAAGGCGAATCCGAGAATCATCCCAGGAATAGAGCCCAGACAACCAAACAGCAGTGATCGCTCCTCGATCTGGATCCTCATGTACAGAACAGCGAATAAAGCACATCCCATGCCTGGAAAGTTCATGATTCCGTGTTTGCCAGGGCACTGAGATACGGGCAGAACATTCTGCTCGGATGTTCCATACAGTACAATTGCTTCAGTGGTATACTTACCGTAGTTTGTTGCAATAACGTGGGTCCTGGTTGTAGGATAGGAGATTCATCTTGCGGTGACGCGTAAGATAGTTATCCAGTTGTTTGATGAGACATCCCCTAACCCTCCCAAATCGTATCAGTTAAAGACAATTCCCGCGATCAAGTGTTGCGGGTAGTTGGTGCTCCGTCATGAACCAGTATCCCATAGGTAGCTCCTCAGTAGAAAAGAAGCGGAAAAAAAACCTCGGGAACACCTTAAACACAGACTTCACCTCAGCAGTCTTGGACGAGTACGTCGGGCGCGAAGGACGCGCTCTCCATAGCGATTGGAGCGCAAAGCTTGAGCCGTGGGACCGTGGCGTTAGTGCCAGGCAATTCCTGGCCAAGCGATGCGATATTCGTGTTCGGAGGTTGAAGGTCTGGGAACAAAATTTTCAGCCTTTTTTTTGCTCGATGGTAAAACTGGTCTGATGTCGGAAGATGGGGTAGTAACAATTGGATAGTGGTCCCATCTAAAAGATCATTAGGTGAGTCTGAAAAACACTCTAACTTCTTATCCTCCTCTTGCAATGAGTACGGAAGGACGAAAGTCCTGCTCTTCAGATCACGTCCTTCCCATCGCTTGCAGGGTATGAAACTCAAAAAAAGGTTTGCTGCTCTTTTGTTCACATCCTCCTAATTAGAATCGCGCTTGCAAAGAACCATATGGAACCCTAAAACAGCCTAAGCGTCTTCAATTTATGTCCAACGGTGCGAGGTTTGCGCTTAATCGCTATGGAAAGCGCGGATCACCGAAGATGGCAAAGTGCCAGAAGCGCCGCGCGCGACACGTGCCGCGCGGGTGTTGTAGGGATAGAAGCTGCTCGCGAGCCGTTGTCTCGTCCAGCTACAGTATGATGTCGCCACTGTTGCCACGCGCAAATGTCTCTAACTTCTTTATCGCGCCGTTTTGAGGGACGAAAGTGGTATGTTCTTTGTGAACGCGTATAACAGTTCAAAAGGCACGGAGTCATTTTGAGGACCACTTGATCGCGGGGAGTGTCTTTAAAGACGCGCCAGCTGACAAAGCTTTGCCGCAATGTGCACCATGAGCGATATAGGAGTCGACCTCCAGAATGTTGTGGTAAGAAAATGAGTCTTCCGAATTTGAAGTAAAGA